GGGCACTTCTCTCTGGGGGTGCTGACGGTTCCCGGTGGGGTGGGGTGGGATGCTCCGGCTCGGGAGTCTGGGGCCCGCGGTCATGTCGACCCACGGGGGGGGGAATGACCCACCGGGTTACATCGGTCTGGTTGCAGAGCCGGTTCTGTGTCGGACCTCGCAGCGCACTCGGGCATAGAGGAGTGAGGGTGATTCGTGGGAAGTTGGTCGGCCACTGGTGGGTTGGGTCTGCTGTCCCTGGGCACCATGTGCTGCAATTGTTTGTTTGTTAGATATGTGTGGTTCGTCCAGCGCGCTGTTTGTGATCTTTGATATGTTATGTATTTTTCCTACAATGTAGCTGAGTTACATTTTAAACCGTACAACATTATTATCACCTCACTTAAAATAGTGGCTGTGTATGTATGAATATTTAAACATGTGTGTCTGAATATACAAACTGCGATAACTGTTTTACATGAACTATAACAAACGGACATGGACAAAATGAACTGTTACTAGGACTTGTGCGTCATATTCAGGTAGGTATTTATTTATTTTATTTTTAATTCATTTGCTTTTTTTTTTCTTCTAAATTATTATTATTATTTTTTTTTCCTTCTCTTCTTCTCTTCCTCTTCCTCTCTTTAAAAAAAAAAAAGATATTCGACCGCTGTTTTCACTATTCGTTATATTGCATCTATTGGTTGGCTTATTATTGTTCATATAGCATCCAAAATTGACAGAAAATTGTCACATTTTGCTGATTTATAAAAAAAAAAAAAAGAAAAAAAACTGAAATATCACATGATCCAAAGTATGCTGTGACTCTAATATTTAACACAGATGCTGTCGGTTTCTTCTGATCATCTTGAGATTGTTCTACTACACCCTCAGTAGTTTGATTCTACTGTTTGGACTTTACAAGGAAAGCCATCATTTTTGTACCCAAATGAAATAATCTTAGGTATCATTGAGGCATTACGAGCTCTGCTTAGAGATTTGTTAGAACCATTTGTTAGACAGGACGGATACAACATGCGTCTCATTCACTCCACTCTACTTTATACCACTCATTCAGTCAGCTGTGCGATGTCCTGTTGGCACCAATAGTTTTCAATTGAGGCACATTGTCACATGAAAACTGCTCAAGTTACCAAAAACATTAAAGATGTAGGGGACTCTAAAGTGTTTCTTGTTTACTCATCAGCACACAGAACTTGCCCACACTGTCTTTTGTCAATTGTTGTTTAATTCTCCATGTTCCTCGTCACAGGTTCTTCTTCTTAGCTGTAAATCCTTAACAGAACCCACAGTAAAACCCTTCTTTAATCTTTAAAGAAGATCATGTTTCCCCCAGAGAGGTGCATAATTGTATCCTTGAGTAATTGAGACTAGAGATAACTTGTTATAAAAGTATCAGTAAGTGCAAGAAATCTAGAGCTTTGACATGCGCTTCAGTGAGCAAGGAGACTAAAATATCAGAATAATGTCCCACTGTGTAAAAAATGTCAAACTGCTACACCCCTAATATGGCAATAATGTCCTTTAACCAGTCATTGGATCACTTCTGTGGTATAATGATGTCATGCACACTTTCACCCTCTCAGCCCCTCCTTTGTAGAAACAATGATTCTGGTTTGTTTCAGTAAATTGACCTCTAGTGGTGAAATATTAGTGTGCATCCAGTTTAACATTCACCACAGTGACTGTGGATTAAATTTAACTCTTTGTAAAGGGCAGGACCCACCTTTAAGGTAGAATGAATGAACCTGGCAGGGGAAAAGAAAATGAAACCTTTAAACAAAGTGAATAGGAGACAAGGGTACTGCTGGCGAGTGACGTTTAAATTATGACATACTTTTGGACTGAGGGTTGAGGGTCAAATTCTCAGAGGACACCGATCTGCCGAGTCTCAATTGAGGCGGAACCAGTGTCCCTGCTGCAAAATTACCCTCCAGACCTGGGCTGTCAGCCACACTACATTCAATTAATTCTAAACCATATGGAAGCTCATTACAGCACTGAGCTTTGGGAAGAACCTGAAGCCCTTCGGTGTACACTAGACACCAGTCACTTTCTTCTCTTAGGGTGTCAAGTGAGAAGATCCCTCATATATGGCCTTCAACTCAATGGTGCAAGAGACATCTGCTAGGTCAAACAAGACTCAAATCAAGTTTATCTCAGATTTGAAAAACACATTAATTTTGAGTGAAAAGGCAGCTTGGATATTTTTTCAATGAGTTACTGTCGTGTCACGGTAAAAATTCCTATAGCTGAACAACTGCACAAACTAGCAAAATGTTAATGCCTTCACTATCTGACTGACATTGTTACAATATTAGTTGCTGTCTTTTGTAGACATTAAGACACTAATGTATACTTTTATATTTCAATGTGTAAAAACATTGTAATTAATTTTAGATCATCTTTTTAGAAAATCATTTGAACAGCTAAGTGATATGCACTAAACTATGCTTATATTTAATGTATCCAGAATTCCGTTGCAAACTTACAGATGTTTGATGTGAAATGCACACATATGTTCTTTGACAGGATGCTGATTGGAGAACAAAAATGCAAAAGATTTAAAACTGTTTCAAGAAAATGAAAGCCCTAATTGGACGGGAAGTTTGAGTTAGAATTCTTCTCGTGTAATGTGCTGATTCGGCTGGGACAAGCAACTCTGAGGTTTTCACAGATAACAGATACAAGTCTCTGAGTTTGGCTTGCAACTGGTGTACGACTTGAATTTGGTCGTATCAATGTATTACATTTGAGCTAAAGCTTATAGTTCTCTTCAGTTGACGCATAAATCTTTCACCTTTTACTAAAGATTTCCGTGGAGAGGAGCTTAATTGAGCATCACTTTTATTTTTGGGCTGCTTTGCTGCTGGCAAAGCAATGCAATGTGGCAGTCGTGGCCTAGTGGATAAGATGATTGACTAGAGATCAAAAGGTCGCTGGTTTGATTCCCAGCTCCACTGGGAGTCCAGGATGAGTGTTGAAACTCTCTCCCTTCTGAGACAACCATTACTGTGGTGACCTTGAGCAAGTCACCAGTTACCACAGCTCCCCAGGCATCGCAGTCATGGCTGCCCACTGCTCCTGGTGTGTGTTTATTCTCTGCTGTGTGTGTGCACTTGGATGGGTTAAATGCAGAGCACAAATTCCTTGTATGGGTCACTCCATACTTAATGTCACTTTCACTTTTATTTTAACGTATATCACATTAACTTAATGAATGTTGAAATTAAAATAATCTTACCTATTAATTACCTATATTAATATAGCCAGTCTTAACATTTTTTTGTTTGTTTGTTTGTTTTTTCATTTAGCTCCTCATGTTAATTTATTCTTTTTAAATCTTTGAAAAGTTTAATCCATATCCATTGTTGTAGGTGTAGAAATACCAGAAACTTGAATTCTGGTACACACAAGAAATGCGTTTTATACAAAAAAAATTCACAATCTCTGACCTCGGACGGAATTAGATTTCTCAGACAAGCGCAGAGTTTGCTGAAAAACAGTACGTCTTTTTCTCTGGACTTTTTACAGAAATTGTGAGAGAAAAAAGAAATTTGGACTGGATTAAAAACACAAAGTACGTCTGAGAAACATAATTTTCTCTATAGGGCTTAAGTAACAGCCAAATATTATAACATACATACCAGAATATCACAGAACACAAAACCCAATGGGTGTTAATTTCCCAAGATACATTATGCCATTTTACATCTTGTGCAGAAAAACATTTAGGATTCATCTGGATTCATCAAGGGGCTCACTTTCCTGCACACGCCTGTACACGGTGGCTCTGGATGTTTCTACTCCAGACTCAGTCCAGTGCTACTGCAGGTCCCCCAATGTCTAGAATCAGTCCTTCTCCACAATCTTCCTCAGGGTACGGTCACCTCTCGTCATTCTGCAGCGTTTTCTGCCACACTTTTTCCTTCCCACAGACTTCCCACTGAGGTGCCTTTAGACAGCACTCTGGGAAGAGCTGACTCGTTCAGAAATTTCTTTCTGTGTCTTACCCTCTCGCTTGAGGGTGTCAGTGATGGTCTTCTGGACAGCAGTCTTACCAATGATTGTGGTGTTGAGTAATGAACCAGGCTCTGAGTTTTTAAAAGCCTCAGGAATCTTTTGCAGGTGTTTAGAGTAAATTAGTTGATTCAGATGATTAGCTTCATAGCTCGTTTAGAGAAACTTTTCATGATATGCAAATTTTTTGAGAACTTGTGGTTTTCATGAGCTGTATGCCAAAATCATCAATATTAAAACAACAAAAGGCTCGAACTACTTTAGTTGTGTAAATTAATCTAAAATATATCAAAGTCTTATGTTTATGAGTACATTACAGAAAATAAAGAACTTTATCACAATATGCTAATTTGTTGAGAAGGATCTGTATGTTTTAATGAATATATATATATATATATATAAATTTTGTATTTTTTTTTTTTTTTGCAAAAGGTGGATCTCGAACAATTCAAAGGTTTTTTTCTGCCTGTTTCATTTAATTAGTTATTTCCAGAGACATACATAAAAAGTGAATGTTGGGTTGGTGAGGCTGGTATTCTGGAAGTGGGAAGCTATTGCAAGCTATTCATGCAAAAGAATTCCTCGTGGTTTGTGTTTGTTCACTTCGTGTCACATTTAATTATTGCTTTTGTTGCAGAGACTTTGTCTACATTCACTATTAATTCATTCAAAATCCTTTGTGAAAGATTCCTTCACTAAAGTCTTGGCAACCTTCTTTATTTCACTGACGTATTTAATAAAAGTTACAGGAATACTTATCAAAAGAGTATTACACTAAGCAAATTGAGCTAGAAAAGACATTTCATCTATAGCAGTTCTGATGCTGTCAGTCTGTTGCCCTCTGTCTCCATTTCTCCAAGGGCAAAGTCCCAAGTAATGAGACGGATATTCTATCCCACTGTGCTGACTTGAATTCATTGGGGAGGGAACACCCCAATAAGGCTTCTACAAACTACTTGCTTCAATCTCCGGTAGCCGTTTCCAACTTATCAGCAGCCATTACCTTCTTGCTGCTCTGAAGGGTCAAGGACAAGCAAAAAAACATGGCTTGTGTATTTTATAAGGCAAACCAATAAAGCAGAGTGAAGCACCATCCATCTAGGGATACTAGCGAAAATGGCACATTTCTAAATTGGCACTTTTGTTGTGTGTGTGCGCGTGGGTCTGTGTGCGTGTTTTTAAATCAAACTGTTTGGTTCTTAGGATTATATTGCAGCTAATCGTGTAGCAGGTTCTTTTTCCTAAAAAATGTTGTATCTAAAACACAAGCATTTTTATTTTAATTTATATTCAAGTCAATCAGGCTGAGAGATCGCCACATGATATCATACAATTAATAAATGAACAAATGCATTTGTAAACGTTTATATTGCTGCTGTGAATTAAATATCCATAAAATCTGACACTTTTTTTACATTGAGCCAAATTATATGTAAATTATTAAAATTCAAATTAAGACTCATTTTAGCCATTTCACTCAATCTTTGTCGAAAAAGATTTGTCCTGTATGGATTACTGCTCATTTTATCCACAATGTAGTCTTGTTATCACTTATTCAAGAGTCAATTGATCTGCAATTCATATTCATATTTACACATTTATTCATTACATGATTTGGAACATTCAAATTATACTTTTGAGTAGCTCATCAGAGTAAATCATCAGAGTAGCTCTGTTGTGTACAGAGGAGTTGATCTTCTAGTTCTAGGATATACATTGCGCTTTATACTCTGTTCTTTGCTTACAAAGACTTTGCTTACACACACTGTAGCTGCTCTCATTTTAAAATGACCATTTTACCTAAAACCCTCTGTTGAATCCTATAGTTATGTGCGTATACAGATAAATCGATAATGAATGTTTTCATCATAATTAATATAGATGAACTCTATTGGTTGTCGCAGCTCTAGTAGATATTAGCAACTACTTCATTATCCAGACAATGTTCTATTTAACAAATCAGACATAATCATACAGAATAAATTTTTGGAGAGTCGTGAATCAATGATTTTGTTGCTTCCAAGGTGCTTCCATTTTAGTCCATTAGTTCCATTATCATCAAAGCTGCTTGCTGTACCTCTTGTTATCAGTATTACCTTTGTTTACGGAGGTTCATTATTTTCAAAGGTTTGCTGAAAACCCAAGAAATTTGTCTTCAACTATAAAAGTTTCATTCAGTTAATTTTATTGACATTTTTTACCAAGTATGAGACTGGCTCCTGTTTGCAGCAGTCGTTTGAAATGCAGTTCAATTGTCAGTTCGCTTTTGCTTTACATAAGAGATGAATTGGTTATTTCTTGGGCCCACCATGGTGATTTCTGTTTGTTTTGAAAATAAAACTTAAAATGGCAAAACACTACATAGTGTGCTTTTGAAAGGCAGTTCAAAGTTTAATCCAACTAATTTTAGACTGATAATTTATTTTAAACTCTTTAAAATAAAAATTCTCTAATTTTGTCAAAATCGAAAGCAGTAGGATTTAATAAAGCACCATGTGTTAATTTATCCACAAATATATTAAAGTTGCTAAGCAAGTGTTCAGAATTTTTTGTAAATCCTCCTTTTGCTCCCAATATCTTGTAGATTATGAAGCAGTGGCTCAGCAATATTTAAAGGGCCAGCCTCAAAAATAATTTATTTTGACCAGAGTTGCGTCAGAGGAGGTAAAACGTGGTGTTTTTTCAATACCATTGACAAATTCAATTTGTTAAAGCATTTTGAAGCCTTTATTTAAAAACACATATCTTAGATGTGTTATCTGATGTAATGCCGGGTCATATAATATCTATAATTTTAGATATGTTCAGGCTGGGGGAGGGTTTGTCCTAGAGGCTTGTTTCTAGAAATTATGAGACTAGTTCAGCTTTTAAAAACGGTTCAGGCATGGGCCGAAGTGTATCAGACTTGGGACAGACTGAACTGTTAAAGCCAGATTACAATTATTTGATATAATTTACCCAAGACCTTTTATTTAAATAAAAAGTCAGGAAATATTTTAAGGGCATTGCCAAGTGATCACATGAGACTCATCTGAATGCCTGCTAAACTGAAGTAGTAATGCATCTACAGTGTAGACTGGCAGCATGTAATTGAATCAATCCAAACATGTTACTCCAGGTGGAAACAAGGCCACAGATGGCAAAAACTGAATGTAAGGTTCTGTATAGCATGTGCACAAACGTGCTTATTTACCTTGAACCGCATTACAGCCATAAAATATGTGAACGGAGGGGGAAAAATGTGCAGCATCTACTCAAAGCTGTAAAACCTTTTACATGTTTGTGTTTAAGGGCTCCCTTCAAACCCAAGAGTCTATAGTACATGTAATTCTCGCATTTTCTATAATCCTCATAGTCTGATTCTGTTGACATTCTCTCCCTTAGGTTTAGTTTGCTATTCTTTGAGCCGCAGCAGAGAATTCTCTTAAGGTCCATACTGGCCGAGAGAAAAAGAAAAAATGTAGATGTAGTGGTTGTGAGGGGGCTGTATAGTAGCATAGCCTTATGAAGGAGATGCCGCAGGGCTTTTTGGAGAAGTCCTCCAAACTTCAAAGTCTCTCTGTTTCCATACAAAAGGCCACTGGGAGTTGGCATCAATTTTAAATGATAAAGAAAGAGGTTAGAGTGGGAGCTAGCAAAAATGTAGAGAATAAAAACTGAGTGTCTTGTCTGGATTGAAATTATTGGTGTTTGTTGAGACCGGGTTCGGTGTTGGAAATTTGGCCCTCTGCAGAATCCGGATGACCAGATTCTTTAATATATTCAGCATAAATCATAAAGAACAGCGTCCGCTACAGTCAGAATCCACAATTCCTGTCCAAGTTATATAAAATAACAATTATTCAATATGTTATGGAGACTTTTTTAAATGTCTCAGTATGTTACAATTTGCCATATACTTTATCAACTTTTGATTACATGATGAGTGGTGCAAGGCCTAGATAA